TATTATAAAAATATCTTAAATTATTTTTGTTAAAAACCCTTTTAATTTCAATATAAAACTTAGTCTACTCGATACTTCGACTTATAATTTATAAAAACTTGATAGTTTTTATAAATAATATTACAATACTAATAAAAATTTTTTTTTAATTATTAAGACTACTTTCTTGGCTGATTAGATTTTATTAGTTTGTTATTATAGAACTATTATATGAATAATCTTTTAAGGTTTTATAGTTATATGATAAATATATAACAAGTCATACATACAACTTTAGTCATTATCTAATTTAAATAGTCTACTATACAAATTATTAATCATCTGTTAGTTTTACACTATACTGCCATATCTGCAATCTGCTTATGAGTTATCTATTTAAATATTCTGATCATTAACTCTTTCTTCTATTCTAAACTAATATTATCATTATATTTTACTACTTAAGCTAGTTGACTTATATACAGATTTATTTACTGTATAGCTTAGATCCTCTCAGAATACGTATTGCCTAATATATTGTGAGTATACAGAGCTTTAGTTAATCTCAGAAATAATTCCTATCAGAGTAGTTATATGCTTATTTTACAGATTCATCTAGATTAGATACTTGTCAATATTCATACAAATCTAGTTCTTGCTGTAGCTCTTTATCAGATATAGTCTTCCAAGTTCTAGCCAAATATTTCACAAGGTAGATTCTTCTAATCTAGTTAACTACTAAGCTAAGTTGGTATTACTACCAATACAAAACACTAGGCTACATTATATAATAGACTTACTTGTACCTATTTGATCTACATCCTTTATATACAAATTTTTCACTAGATCAAGTATTAACTAGCTTGACTATTGAAATCTATACTACTTTACCAAACTCAAAATTTCTACTATGCAAATCTTCTGCTCATAGATCTTATTAAAATTTATTTGTATAATATAATTCGAATATTATATTATATTTCTAATATCTAATTGATATTAATGTAATGTGATTTACAAGGTTGTAACCTTCAGAAATAAACTAAGTTTACTATAAGTTAGATATAAAAGTCTAAGTAATTATTCAAATTTATCAACAGTATAATTTGAACTCCAAACCTCTTGTATAATAGTCTAGTAACCTAACTATTATACTAAGATCACCAAACTATACTAATAAAATTTAGCTAATAGCATGTTGTATAAAATAAATATAAATAAAAAATTCTTTTGTATATATTTATTAGTTTGTATCTTTCTTTATACAAAGTTTCTTTTTAATTTTTAGTACTATAATATTAATTAAAATTATGTATTTGTTTAGTTAATTATTATGAGTAATCATGAATAGATCTATGAAAATTAATCAATCAAATGAATGTCATCCTATGAGATCTGAGATTAATCAAATTTCACAATTTTGATTGATTAAAAGTAACAGATAACTATCAGGTAATCTCATAACGCAAAATCTATGAACAGTGCTATAGGACAATATAGTCATGTGACTAACAATATGATAATTTTTTGAAATTTTAAATGAAAATATCTTGACAACAACCTAATGAAATCTGATGAATTTATTTTTTACATTAATTGTACACATTCATAGAATCAGAATAAAAAATTTTCAGTGAATTTCACTAAATGGTTGTTGAGATATCTTCAACAAAAGTCAGGTCAATTTTCAAATATCTATCAAATTCAAAGCCACTTCAAAATTTTTCAAATTTTAAACCAAGATATCTCAGACAACCACCTAATGAAATTTGATAAATTTTTTTTATTTTGATTCTGAGAATATATAGAATTAAATTAAAAAAATTTCATCGAATTTTATCAGGTGGTTGCTGAAATATCTTCAACAAAAGTTGGGTCAATATTCAAAACGTCTATCAAATTCGAAGCTACTTTAAAATTTTTCAAATCTTTTAAACGAAGATATCTCGACAACCACCTAATTAACCTCGATGAAAATTTTTTTATTTTGATTCTACACATATGTAGAATTAAATTAAAAATAGTTTCATCGAATTTCATTAGGTGGTTGTCGAGATAGCTTCGTTTAAAGAATTGAAAAATTTTAAAGTAGCTTCGAATTTGATAGACGTTTTGAATATTGACCTAGCTTTGGTTGAAGATATCTCCGCAACCACCTGATGAAATTCGATGGAATTTTTTTTATTTAATTCTATATATTCATACAATCAGAATAGAAAAAATTCAACAAAGTTCATTAGGTGGTTGTCGAGATATCTTCGTTAAAATTTCAAAAAGTTGCAATATTGTTAATCACGTGACTGCACTGTCCGTAGATTTCCAGTCTCATGATGTGTTGGCCTCGTGCAATTTTTCTTTTACATTATCTCGACTTTCATTTATAATTGAAAAATGTCAATCATGTCAAAATTTATATGTCTGTTTTAACAGATAACACCCCATATATCTGTATATTGCGTGTAAATAATTTAAGAGGTAGTTCAGCTCTGAAAGTTTTTCTATAATGCAGGAATGAGGCTTGCTTACATATAAAGTTGTTTTTTTTTTTTTTTTTTTTTTTTACAAAGTAAACCTTTCTTGAGCTTCTAAGTTGTAGAAACGATTGTTCTCGTTCTAATGGTGCTAAAATCATCCAAAACGGTCTGGTGGATCCCGAGATATTAGTATTTTACTATACGATTTTTACTATTGCAAAAAAAACGTTACCCCTTAACCTTGTTGAATTTTCTTTTGTGAAAATGCAGTGTCGCAATAACAGATATAATAGTATCTTTCATATTCGAATATAAAATTTGATCAAGCGGTTTTAAAATTTCAAATTGGTTGGTTTATACTTTTGAGGGCCCATATTACAGAAATTAAATTATTAAAATTTATTACATTTTGGTTATAAACTGTTAATAAATTGCAATCTTATTTTCGCTTAAACCTAATTGCAGCGGTGTTACCAAAACTTCCTTGACTAACATTTAAAATGGCTGCAAAATAAATATAAAAGTTATTTATATGGACAATTTTAATAACAGATAAGCAATATATAAAACGATACAAACTTACTATTTTTTCTTGGCAGTCTTTTGCCATAGAAATGTTTCTCTCTGAATTCTATAATTCCTCTAGTAACCGATCTTGGTTCAACGTACTTTGGATCGTCCAAAATAACAACTGTGAACGGGCTGTAGAAAAAAAAAAAAAAAGCATTAGCATATATACAAAAAATATAGAATATTAGAATTATGTAAGATACCTAGAGTCGGTCTTTTCTTTTGTTTTTTTTTTCTTACGTGGTGGCTCTATATGTTCGTCTTTCGAGTTATCCATTAACTTCGGGATAATGCTAACTCAGACAACAGTAAAAATGTAACATAACACTATTATTGTCATACGTAGTAAAATATAATAAATGTAATGCATATTTTATATTGTGTTTGATCGGCAAGTCTAAAAAAAAAACTGGTATTTTGTAGAGCCGTCAACGTTAACGCGCGATATCAATCACAATAAGGTTCAGACCAAAATTTAAATTTCATTGCTTTGAATCAAATTTATTCCAAAATTCGTCAAAGCTGAGATATTTTTATTATTAGATCTAAAATACTTTATGAAATTTAAAGGTTTTAGATTTGTTAACAACCCAAGTATTTCGTCGGTCATACAGGATCAAATCATTGATCTCAAATGAACGGCTAATAAAACCATTTTGCAGCAAGTTAAAATTCCACTTTTGAACTTATACGAGGTAATTATTCTTTACGAATTATTACTTTGAATTATCTGATTTTATTTTTTTAAATAATTATATACAACTTAAATATGTTACTTTAGATCAAATATCAAAACCTTAGCAATAAAGATACATATCTCACCGTGCTTGTTTTATCGTGTTGTGGGGATATAAAAAGGGGATGGATCAAAGTACTCGCAAAAATGGTGTCTCTCGGGTATCAAAACCTCAAAAAGTTAAAACTCCACCTACACCAAAGCCGAAACCTCCTAAACTTTCCACGGCTCCTTCGAATAAAATTAATAATGAGCCAAATTCATCATCCACTCCTAAACAATTGAATTCCAATACAACAGTGATTCGTGGACCAAATATCAATAGGCTGTCAAGCGTTTTTGAAGATCCAAATATAACAGCGGATCAGACGATTATCAAATCCCGTGTTGCCCCATCGCTTCCTTTATCACCAAAGTTGCCTGTGCCTATGGTTAAGAAAACTTATATAAAAAAATCTGTCTCACGTGACAATATTACAAGTGATAAAAAGATGAATATCGATGAATCTTCATTAATATTTGGTGATTTAAAAGCGAAATTTCAAGCTAACGAAGGTGATGGTGCGGTGAGTTTATGAACTTGAATAATTTAAAAGTTTGAGATCAATTATTTATTTATGATTATTTATTTCTGTGACTAAAAGATTCCTACTCAAATCAACAAATTTGTCGGTAATCGTCCTATTATATCGTCAAAAAACCCTGATGAAAGAGTAAGTACACCTACTAACCTGCCCAAACATGCAAATAATATAAATATTAAAGCACCTGAAAGGTCAAGGTCATCCGTTATAACTTCAACAATTGAAGAATCAGATGTAAGCGAAGATAGTGTTGATTTTGATTGGATTGATATACCATATATTAATCAGGTACTAGAAATGAATGAAAGAAATAGTTTGAATGGTTCAGGGACTGCGTCACAACAAACGACATTAAATTCTTCAACTAATAAAAAATCTGGGAGAAATAGTTCACATAGTGCTCAATCTTCAAAAAGAAACTCTATTATTGTACCCTCAAATGATTTTGAAGCAAAGAGAGCTAGTATTGCGAATTTACTTTCTGGGTCTTCTCAAATTTTAGTAAGACCTAAGGATTTACACTTAGAAACTTCAAAAGCTTTACCTCCGATACCAATATCTCCTTCACAGTCTCCATCTTTAAAAGTTACATCCCCTCTTTCAGACACAGATGGTAGACCTAAAAGTGAAATTTCATTGCCAAGTTTTTCAAGTGAAACAACACTTGTTGAAGAGGATGAAAATTCAATTGATCTGAAAAGGCGCAGAAAGTTGTGGAATGTAATAAAAGAGTTAGTAGAAACCGAACGGGTTTTCTTTAACGATATGGTACTTTTGGAAAAGGTAAATTAAACCAAAAAATTTAAAATTGTTTTTTCTTTAATATTTCTGAAAAAAAATTTTTTTATAGGTGTATTATATACAAGCACAAGAAGTTCCTATATTCAACCAATATGATTGTAAAACAATATTTAGCAATCTTGCGGAAATAATAGACTTTTCCGAGCAATTTTTAGCCTTATTACGAGCAGCTAGTGGAATTGGGGAGGATGATGATGACCCTGAAAAACATTATGAACTGGAGAATGATGATACTACTATCGGAGAGGCGTTTGCACAAGTGGTGAGATTATTTCTCATTACATTTTTGCTATCTTTAAGATTTGATCTTATATTTATTTTAAACAGATGGAAAAGTGCCAGGGTGAGGATAGCAGGTTAGAAGCAGTTTATGGAGAATATTGCAAACGACATGAGGCAGCTGTTCAAAAACTTCAAGAATTCGACAGTGATGAAACAGTTCAAGGGTTTTTACAGGTTTATTATCAAATTCTTTTTATAATTGTTCTTACAATAACATTTCCTGTTAAATTTTTTTTAAACGATATTTATAAAGCGATGTAAGAGTCAATGCGAGGGTCAAACGAGAAGTTGGGATATTGCAAGTCTTTTAATCAAGCCTGTGCAACGTGTATTGAAATATCCACTTCTATTGCAAGTAAGAAAAATCTCTTAAGTAATAATATATATATTTAAGTACCGTATGTCGTGAACATTGACTTATTGCGTGCGTTTATCACATATTTATAGCAAATTTTATCACTTACAAAACCTTCACACTCAGATTATAAGAATCTTCAATTTGCTTTTTCAGAAATTACAAAAGTTGCCGAACGTATTAATGAAATAAAAAGGCGCAAAGATATAGTTGAAAAAATTGTAGGCAGTAAAAAAAAAGCCGATGCAGATGTGAGTGTTTTTCTCGAGTATTTGTATATTTAATTTAAAGTATAAATTCTTTAATAAAAATATCTTGCAATATAAATACCTAACTGATAAATTATAGGTTTTGTAAGTATTCATAATGTGTCGGTTCTTTTTTTTTTTCGGACTAGATTTTAATATTTATAGTTGCTTTAGGCATGGTATAACGAAATCATTTACAAGAAGAGGTCAAATGGTAGGTAATTGTGTCTTTTTGACTACTATTTGATTCGAAAATACCTAAAAGCTAAGATTGAAATAATGAAAATTAAAAGATAAAGCATGCTACTGGTATTGCAAAACCCACTGAGGATGAGCTTTATAATGCTTATGTGGCCAAATTTAGGACTTTAGAACAAAAAGGAATTCAATTATCTAAGGACATAAAAAATTGGGTAAAACAGGTTAAAAGTAAGTACCATGTGCGACATGAAGTTATGTTGTTCATGTATTTATATGTACATTGAATTATTTTATGCACTGTAGTATTTTTTGAAGACCAACAACGCTTAGCAGCTGCAATCGAGGACTTTTATTTATTCGGGGATGCCGATAATAAAAGCTCTGATGATTGTAAGAGAGTTGTTGAATATGTAAAGATTATCAAAAGCTTTTCATTATCTAGTGGAAAAGAAATGGTACGCTATTAGTCTTTTCACACGCTTAAGACCCTTTCTTATTAAATATTAACTAATAAACTGATGATAGGAAGAAACAATCAAGAAAACAATATATCCTGAAATTGATAAAATTCTGAATTACTTTAAAGCACCCGCAGCCGTAATGAAGAAACGAGAAAGAAAAATTTTGGATTACGACCGAGCCAATTCTATTAAAGCTAGGGGTGCAACAGTAATTAGCATGTTTAGTTTTTATAATATTTTATTTAATATACTTAAAATACTTAGATTGTTTGTCTTAATTAAAAATATTTCTAGCCTGACAAATCACTCCAACAATCCGCAGATGCTTTCGTATCGATTTCAGATCAGCTACATGAAGAACTACCATCATTTTTCGTCTTTATAACTGAATATTTTGATATAATTGTGCAAGAATTTATTAAAATTCAGTCAAAATTTTACAAGCAAATGGATATGGATTTTCGATTATATTTTTATAAATTTATTGACTTACAAGCTCTACAGAATATATCGGATGACAGAGAATTAGTTCTAAGGAATATAGATATAACCACCGAATATACGGATTATTTCCATGGTTCATTGGGAATGGAAGATCGATTAATTGAATTGGGTATTTTGAATAAGCAAAGTAAGTTCAATTGCGTCAATTTATTGAATAATTACCATATGTAATTATTGCATATGATATATGTTGGTAATTTTATATGTCAACCATTATTTAGCATTTTCAGATCTTACTGATGGTATAGGAAGACCCAAGAATGATCGAAGATCTAGTTTTTCAGAATCACTTGGATCTTCAGGATCATCAAAGCAAGCTGAAGATTCATTAAATCAAATAGGTAAATAATTTAAGTGATGTGACTAATTTTAAAAACTATAGTGTTCAATATTTATGGATACATATTAAAAATGAATCTAATAAAACTTTTATTTTTAGAGCGGTCGCCATCATGGTATTCGGATCAGTCACTAAATAACAGAATACAAAACTCTTTCGGACTTGATGATTTAGCTTATGAGAACCGTTCTAAGAACTCTTTAGATGATAGTTTTAATTTTCAAGATATTAAAAATAAATCGCAACAGCGATATAGCGCTCACAAAAAATATGCTACCGATGGTGTTATAGATCATCGATCATTAGAAGAAGAGGACGATGATATATTTCATGATACATTGACTGGTGAAGAGGATGATGAAGCCTTATTTTTATGTCAAACTATTCATACAAATAAATCGAAGGAAAAAAATGAATTAAACTTTAAACCAGGAGTGTTGCTTAAAATTATACATATTGATGAGAGTGGTGAGTGGTGGTTTGCGGTTAATGAGGATACTGGCGATAGGGGTTGGGTAGATCCGGCATTTGTTGAAAGGATTGGCTGATACAGTATTACGTTGAGAAGTCTTATTAATTTAAATATGACATGTATACATGTTAGAAATATTTTATATTTTAGGATCTTTATTATTAGTTAATTTTATAATTTGTGTTTATTATAACAAATAACTATTGTTAATTTGTATCACATTATAAAGTATTGATTTTTTCAACTTTATAATATTATATATATATATTGTATTATATTTAATAGAAGATTGGAATAATACTTTTACCTTTATATATTTATATATGTAAATTATTAATCAATCTTATACAAGAATTATAAGTCATATAAATGAATTAATATTATTAATATTCGGTTTCTAATTTATATAATCCAAAAAGTAAAAAAAAATCTTTTTATCTTGAAGTATTTAACCTTTAAAATTGAAAAATAATATAAATACTACTACAAAGTTTTGTCTATACTCAGACTTAGCTGTATTGCTTTTTTAATTACATCACATCCCCACTCAACTAGTTCCTTTTCTTCCTCTTTAATAATATCTCCTGATTTAACAAAATGATGTAAAAAAAACATAATTCCATGTGCTAATATTGGAATATGTACTGTAATTATAAAAATTTTTGAAAGCAATTGAGGGTTACGTTTGTTTGTGTTTTGAATTAAAATAATATTCGAAAAAAGATGTTGGAAAAATAAACGGCTTTGAGATTGCAATTTAGTAAAAGTGACAGTCTATATGAACAAGAATTTAATTAGTTTATTAAATTATTATCAATTTATCAATTTATATTTACCTTTAAATTTATAACAGAAAATCCTCTATTTACAATTAACCAAGCAAAAAGCTTTGCTAAATTGACAATTCTTTTCAGTGGAATTTTTTCAGATGAATTTTTAATTGATATGCTCTTCATCATTTCAATTCCACCCACATCGATTTCACCACATTCTCTGAGAAAGTCCCATAAACAATATTTAAAAGTTACTTTAAAGCTGTGGTCATAGTCACAGAGACGTTGCGCAATTAGAGAATAGTATGGATTATGTGTGTTTTCCTGAGAATAAATGTATAATTAATATCATGATTTTAATAAAAATTATTGTTGCGGCTGAAGCTGGAAATGGCTGATACTAGAAATTAGAGGTCTCGATTTAAAACTATAAACCCTGCTAAAATCCAACTATACTCTTTTATTATAAACCCTAACCCTAAATTTTAATTTAACTATAAAAAATCGTAGAAAATGCACCCCAAAATTTTTTGTAAATTTCATAAAGTATAAATTTCCAGCATCAGCCGTTTACAGCTTCGGCTATAACAATTATTTATATATTATAAATACATTTCCGCAACAGTGGAGCAAAACTCGAGGAATTTCTCGCGCTTGAACTTCTTTAAGATCAAGTTTCAACAATCTCTCGAATGCATCAATATAATCCTAAGTATCTAAAATTAATTTTGATAATGTTAAAAACCGACGGATGAATTACGTATAATTTACCTCACTGCTCATTAAAACTATAAAAATGCTTCTTCGAACATCAGTATTCATTTTTTGTTGTTTGGCTAAATTTAAAAAAGCCTCAAAAACAGAATTATTTTCCGTATTTCTGGTTGTAGAGGTGGATTGGCTATCAGTCATATTAGCAGAGCCAACAATCCACCACTTTCCTTTAAAATGAAAAGTGTTAAAATTGTGATTACTTAAGAAGAATAAACCATTTAACATGCCTTTAATAGCAATTGACCGAATGTCATCAAGATTAACTCTTATTGCTTCAGTCGCTTGAACTTATCGAAATAAAAATAAGAGATTGAAATTAGATAATAAAATTAAAGGATTACATGAGTAGATCATATTTACCATGAATCTTCTTGCCTAGATTTACAAGAAATTTCTTCATTTTTAATATGCATTCCCTATGTGTCGCTACATCTTGTTGTTTTAGACGATTGTTTTTTAAATTCATGATTGTTTCGATCATAAATTTTGTACGTGATCTGCTTATTAAAGAAATGTTTATTTCTTATTGACATACATTACTAACGATCGTTGATACTTACACCAAGCTTTTTGGATCTTTCTTACTTATTTCGACATGAACTTGTTGAATTATTTCCTTCAAAGAGGAGGGGTCATCTTGTTTAAGTTGATAGCCTGAATCTGTCTTGCACAGTTAATATATAGTTAGATTATAAATATTTATTATACTACATTTTAGTATTGCGAGCTAAACGGAATATTCGCCCTTGGTGAAATTACTTCACTCCGGCGAAATGTTTCGGATTTTGAGGAATGATTTAGTTAGCAATAACTACTATATGTTGTTACGAGCTAAACCGAAATTTCCGAAATGTTTCACCCTGGCAAATATTTATTTTAGCGAAATATTTCGGATTTTAAAAAGTAGTTTAGCTCACAACACTAATGCACTTCAAATAAATATCTATGTCATATTATATAATCCCACTAATCCAAACATAGACAGTATTTAAATTTGATCTAACACACAATATATACATTATATGTTCAATCACTACTTACGTTTAACAATTTGCAACAATAATTCTACGTTTAGATCAGTTAAATCCAAGATAAATTCCCGAATTATATCATATATCAATGTGCATGAAATAACCCGAAAGTTATAAAGCTCAGAAATAAGAATAATTAGATTGGTGCATTCTTTGCCACCACTCCAATCAATATTTTTGGTGTCTACTGACTTATTAAATTGGCCGTGAAAGCTCTCAAATTCTTCAACAATTGTTTGAATGAGATTAGCACCTTAGAAGACAAATACGATATTATGAATATTTATTATATGATTATCATAATTTCAAAATATTATGATTAATATATATATTGAACCTACAGAAATCTATCCCTATAGTTTTATGCAATGCGGCAGCAAAAGCAGCATACAAGATTACGAACTGATCCAAAAGTACTGCCCTTGATGAAATTATATTCAAAATGAGTTTTGTAAGTATAGATATCACATCTGTGTTCATTAAATAAAAAATAAAATACATATTAAACTTTGATGAGATAAAATAGCCAATAAAATGGTCAATAATAATTATTTCAATACGATACCATTCCGTATGTGTTTGTTATATAATTCATTTATGCTCACAACTATACTTTCGATATTAGATTCACTTAACCTGTAATCCAAAAAATAATTATTTAATTATATCGATTAAAGAGATTAAAACGTGAAAATTTTACATGCCTATTTAGTAAACCTTGTAATTGGCGTTGTAATCTTGTTTGTTGTTCTGTTTTAGTTTTGTTGGCTTCTAAAGCGCTTAAAGTTGCAAGTTTATCACGAGTATGTGGTGGAATATACTTGTCTAAAGTTAGAAATTAGTTAATCACTATTAATTCCTAGGTCATACAAAATTAATTAATGCAATTAATCCCTTGGTTTTAAAGGTTAGTTTTTGTAGACCTGTGAAAACAAACATCCCATATATAATTATAAAAAATATTCGGGCATTTGTTTTTTTAAAAAATTAAAAAAAAAAAATCATATTTTTTCTTTAATGTTCAAAATAAAAGCCGGATACTTCTAAAATTTAATATAATGAAAACCAAGAAATTCTTTATATGGACTACTACTTTGTACCTGTGTCAACTTTTGCGGCGTGTTCAAGCTGATCCGATGAGTTCAGAAATTCTTGGGTACTACCAGCTTCCGTAATTTTATTAGAAACATTATCTGATTCTTTAACCTCAACGACCGTATTAATTTCGCAAATGTCGTCATCGTTATCTTTATTTGTTTTGTCAATTACACTGCAGTCTTCAGAATATTCCGATTCCTCAAATTCTAAATCATTATCATTATCCTGAAATATAATTCAAAATAAACTTGTAAAGCTCGGTACAAGTTTCAAAATAAGATTTCAAAAATAGAGACGTAAAATAAGCTGGTTTGGTCTGAGACTGATTCAGACCAGTCAAAGACGGTCTTAGGCAAGGACCAGACCAGTTCTGAACCGATCCGGAGCAAGCCAATTAATATCTCTATTCAGAATTCACCTTAATTTGCTCTGAACTTAGTTCGTTCAATAAATTTGATAAATTTGATCTTTTAGAGCCGATCTCAAATCCCTCTAGTAAATCTATATATAATAAAATGCGTGATTATTAAATTAATTAAAAAAATATATATGATGAGGTCAATAAAAATCAAGCAAATCGTTTTATTAAAATTTTATTAAACAACTCAAATAAATTTGATAATTTTAATTTTAGGACTCTTTTAATTATAATTAAGAATTCTAATTATCAAATCTAGCTGTTTGGTCGAATTATTCATATTTAAAATTAGAATAAATTTTAGTAAATAATTTGCTTGATTTATACTGACTTTCTCCACATGCGTACCATCTAATCCATCTTCAGCAAAAGCTTTAGTCAATTTACCACTCGATTTAATTCCCAATTTTTTTTCTAAACGTCTAATTTCGCGTTCCTCTGTATCAGATGATTTAACAAGTTTTGATGAAAAAATATCACTAGCATTCACAAGATTTGCGTCTTGCAACAATGAAAAAAAATTTGTATTTGTTTCATATAATTTTTCTAGCTTTTGCGCAGGAACTATTTTTGATATTTTGCGTTTATAAGAATCCTCGTCCTTATCTGTACTGGCAGTAACGGGTCCTTTATTTGTTTTTTGGATCTTTACTGCATGTGACAATAATGCTTTTTCTTTCCTTCCTCGAGTCTTTTTTTATAAAGATTATTGTTGTAATCAACAATAGAAGAATTTTTAGAAAAACACGTGTGTCCATAAACTAAAGTTTTGAAACCTTTAATTTTTTCTTTTCTAGACGTTCTCTTCTTCTCTTTTCTTTACGTGTTCGTACTTGATTTTTAAACTTTTGGTCAAAGTTTCTAGCGTCTAACACTAGAACAAAAAAAAAAATTAGACTTTGATAAATTTAGAATTTAACCCAAATATTCTTCTCACTTGATTCTTCTATTTCATTCTGAAGAGCAAGTGGTAATCTAAGCTCGTTAGTTGCCTTTGCCTTCGACCTTGCTTTGGGATTTTGTGGCATTATTATTTTATCGTTACGAATTGACAGGTAAGAGATTTTTTTTTACTGTGATAATCGCCTGATGATTCTTAAATGATTGGCTATCATATGATTTATATCCATTATCGGAAGCATTGAACTTGGTTTTTATTCGATAGCACTTAAAATGATACTAGGAATAGGCATCGACGTTATTCACCTTCCACGTCTCAAAGTTCTCCTTTCTCGCTCCTAGTCTTCTCTTAAAAAATTTACGTCTCGAATATTAACTTCTGATGAAGAAAAAGAATTTAATTATACATTTTCATCCATCCTAAATACTAGAAATAATCATGAGATAATAGAACATAACATTATATCATATTTGGCTGTCAGGTCATTTTAATTTTTTTCGATATTAATTAATGGATCTATTTTTAATGCTTTTTTTTTTCA